TAGTCGTCTTATAGTTACTACTTGTTGTACAAGTATATAAGTAAATGTACAACGCAGGTAGACATATATACTACTTTTTCAATGAACATAGACAGTCTTGTTGCTGATCTGCCAAACCTTGTTGTAGTTGTTTCAAAAAAAGATATGGAGTATTGTTTAAAGTCCGACAATGAGGACTGGATGGGGTTTCAAGTCCGCGCAATTAGTTCCAATCCGAGGCGTTAGCCGAGACTGGAACTAATTGCAAGGACTTGAAAGTCCGTCCAGTTCGAATTGGAAGACTTTGAACGACTTCTCATACTCATTAATTATTCGGGAGGGGAAAAAAGCGAAGGAAATACATATAACAGAAATATATATTGATTTAATTTTTAATTTTCATAATTTTGTTTGTTTTCCAATTCCCGAACGGCTTTCTGCTTTTCAAATTGTCTTTGTTTGCTTTTCATGGCATTCCTAATGAGCCTAATTCATAATTTTTTTGTAAGTATGTTATCTTCCAAGGAAACAAGGTAGAAGTAACCAGAATCAAGGTAAGAGTAACTGGAAATGAGGTAGAAGTAACTGGAAACAAGTTGGAAGTAACTGGAAATAGGATAGAATACAACAGGAGTACTTCCTCTGGTATCCAGTTACTGCACGTGGTACAAATTACAATCAGGGATTGGTTGGATACCTGATTAATTAATGAGAGTATGAGAAAATATCTTTAAGCTTTTTTAGTTRAAAGATCTAAGGATTTAGAAACTTTAAAAGKAGTCACAAAAAATCAAGTAAATGCTTATGTATTTAGACTTCTATAAAAAAGAAAGTAAAGTTGTTGAACAACGCCGTCGAACTGARGATCGCGGGTTCGAATCTCGACTCGATCATATTTTGTTCTTTCTTTCTTTTTAAATGAAATGAAGTTTTTATAGAGGGGTCTTATAGTCATGTTGATTTTTTTCTGTAGATATCTGYATCAACAATTATTTTTTTCGAGCCGTTATTTTGATTTTACACAGAGTCTGTTAAAGTCTGTTAAAACGTATTCACCCGCACTTTTAGGCTCACGGCTTCGATTTTCGACGCAATCGCTTCTAAGCGATTCTTTTTTCTTTTCTTCTTTCTTTTCTTTTTACTGAAATATACTTTTTGTAGTCATGTTTATTTTTTTTTTCCTGTAGATATTTGTTTTTTACTTATTTTACACTCAAGATCATACTTGAATAGCGGCGTTGARCTGACGATCTCGGTTTCGATTCTCTACTCGAGCAGCTTCTAAAAGATGTGAAAAGATTATAGGCAGAATATATCAAATCGATCGAGGCGCCAGCACTGGTAAAAATATGTATTTCACGTCAAAATTCTATACACTTAACATAACCTGGACACGGTATGTTCCACGAAATGGTTCTTGTTTTATTTACAATCGCGAAAGAACGGAGCGTTAATACTGAAATACAGTGATCACGTGTTCAGTTTTGACATTCATTGGCGTTCGCCGTAAGCAAAGCGTACATCTAAAACTCTCGTAAGATAATACTAAGATCCTTTTAAAAAGAAGATTTATTCTCATGTACATGTCCACTCGCACAAATAATATCATGTCTAGCTTCTAAACATGGGGTCCGGAAATTGACCATCTTTCTTCGTGCTTGCTTTCCTTTTTCCAGAGGGCAGGATGGTATAATATTTGTCAGGCACATCTATGTAGTAACGCAACGTTACTTCCTTTGTATAATAATTAGTGTTCAGGTTACATGTAAGCATTTGTACAATGTACACTTACTTTGGCAAGACAAGAATACCAAAAATAAGAACCAGGGGAACCAATATTTCGAATGCAGTTCCAATAGGTCTTCGAATCTAGGTTTTAGAGAAGAAATATATTATTGATATGTACTTCAATCTGACACCGTCTGGCGGGCAATACACATCTCATTTAATTTCCTTTCCATATCAATTTGATTGAAAGGTGTTTGTTTTGTTTTTTACTACTAGACCAAAATAGCGGGGCAACAGTAGCAGGGATTTTAACAAATGACCGTGCCCTCGACTACCAGAGGAAATGTCCTATTTTAACACACCACTCAAACGTTAAATTCCCCGGTATTCCCCGGGGGTCGGGGGTTTCAATTGACTAGTGCATAATATAATTGCAGGTTCAACACGGGAGCTTTATCCGAACATTAATTTATTTTTAGTTACAAACGCTCTAGAAGGCAGTATACGCCTGACTTGCTTCACAGTATTGAAGCARCAGGTGAATGAAGTCAATGACTGAAGGTTATGAGTTGACCAAGGCGAAGTGAAAAAGAAAAACAAAACTCAATTTAGGCATCGTCCAATGACTTTCTACCTTATACTTTGTCTGACAAAGGCCTTGTGGCTTCTGGTATTTAAATTGCTAAGGCATCACAGCTTGCGACAACTGTTTTTATTCTTCAGTTCTTTTTGTTTGTCTGTCTGTTTGCATATTTGTTTGTTGTTGCTTTTTTTCATTTTTCAAATGATTAATAAAAAAGTGCATTATATATRAATATTCATTCCGTGTTTCAAATGATACCACATTAATATTAAAATGAATTCACACCCAGCTAGAATGAAATCGATATTATATAAATCCTCGCTTCACATGAACCATCAATTCACAATTAATCCCAGAGTTAAAAGGCCGGCTCAGTATACGCAATGCTCAACATCGAATCCTAGAATTCACAAGAAGCGAATGACAGCGAAACCCAGCAGACATCTAGCGCAAGCTATAGTCGATGTTATCTCTTGTTAAAGAAATTGTCAGTAGTTCAATGTAGTGGTAGTTGGACTATAAATTAAGATCGATTCACAGTAAAGACAGTGAATAATCCAGACCACAAATATACAACGCAGTTACTGCCTTACCTGTAAAATGAAATTCTTCCAAAGAAGAAGGCGAAATTGACGAAAGCGGTTCGCCATCAGAAAGACTAGAGTTCCTAATAATATCGATTGACATTTACAAGTGAATTATTCAGACATTAAGTGAAGATTCCACTTCAAACATTGAAATATSATTGGTTGCTCGCGGGTAAAAACGATTTTGGGATTCAATTTTTACGCTGAACATATATTAATATATCGCATGCAAAGAAAATGATTAGAACATCAATTTCATGTTGTAATCTAAATTGCATTTTACCGTTTGTAGGTAAATTGTCTCGAATTCTGATTGGTCTCTAGAGCGGTGGTAAATGAATGTACGGTCTTGAGTAGCCTGCGTAGTGGCTCTAGGGGGGAGGGGGAAAAGGGGGAAGGGGGAAAGGAAGGGGAGGGGAGAAGGAGGACCCTGATGCTCCCCAAACTAGATTTTCAGGTGTTTTCGTTCTTTCCTTTTTTCTTTTTTTTTTTTTTATTAAAAATTAAAACTTAGGAATTGAAAAATATTCTTTTTGAATTTAGCAAGAATAGAAGGTTTTCAATTCACTTCCCGCTTACGTCGTACGCATCTATTTGATCTCCATGAAATTTTCTTTTGTTCATAACACGAGCATATGACTTTTAATAAAAAGAGACTTCTTCTCGTTGATGAATAACAATTCGGATGCAATTCGATGACGAACAACCGTAGTAATTAAGAGAGCGAATACCCACGAGAAACTATTTGTTAACTACAATATTGTACTTAATGAGATGGAAATTAATAAAATATATTAAATGGAGCATTACTTAATGATTTTAAATGACTTAAAAAACACCGTAATTGACCTCTTAGAATTCTACACAACTAAAAGTTACAASACGCACCGGAATGCGAAGCGGTATGCATTCTATTTTCCTCTTTGGCATCCATTAAAATGAAAATGTTCAATATGATTTTTTTTTTTTTTTTTTTAAAAAAAAAAAAAAACCTTCTTAAAAAGGACTGCATCATTTGTTTTCACCAAAAGGGGTGAAGGTGCATTTTTCTATTTTTTCCCTTATTCTTTGCCTTAATTTGTCTTTGTCTTTGTCTTTTTCAGTCTTCAAAAAAGTCGCTATACAAATTCACATGATCTGTAAKATTAGTCACTATATAGCCTAACTGACAGACACAGAATCTTATGTGTATACATGTCCCTTTGCCTGATATTTGTGAGTGCACTTTTTTCGATATTCGGATTATTAATGGTCATACACAAAAAGAACAGGCTCCATGAAAAACAGAAGCCCTTTAATTTCCTTCAAAATTGATAGGTGCTCGACGGRTTTTTTGTTTGTCATCATTCGTACCATCAAGTTCTAATTTTTCTGGATGTCCTCTCTAAGCGGCGCTTTTTGCATGATTTAGTTATCTGGCTACGTATCGTGCCCATCAACTAAGTAAACATCTGAAACATATAATATAATTAATCGACAGCTGGAGAAAAACACTATCTCATCGATCGCGTTCCCATACCGCAGAATCGCAAAGAAAACCGAAAAAAAAACACGGAAAAAATTCATTTCCACGTACCCGCAAACATTAACAACCACCTCATCGAAGTAAAATGTCTATTTTCTATGAAAATAAACTATGTGCAAGACTGTAATATTCCAATCTCTTGTATATGTGGGGAATACCTCTGGAAGCAATTGATACGGTATCTCTGACTTTCCATAAATCAATCGAGGAATATTTTGGAAATAAAATTGTCACCCTTAGTGGGAATTGATTGAACTTCGTTAATTGAAATTCTATCTGATCCGACGAAAGATTAATATCAGTAGACAATACCAGGCCTACGTCATACTTCGTTATATTTGCTATCTTCAAGATTTTCTGAAGAAATGGGCATGTCGTTTGATGGGTGGTCTTGATAGCTCTGGTACATGATAATTAATAAGCTAGCGACAGCTGATCAATGTATATAATAAGAAMGTTTTCACTGTTTTTAAAACCTTAGTGCTTCTTTATGGCTTCTGTTTTTGTTTTTGTTTGCTTTTTCTTCTAGAATATAATTACGACTATTATAACAGTCCCTGCATGGCTTGATCTTTAATATAAGACTTTTAGGGGCAAGGCTCGCTGTCGATCAGTCGAAGAAAAAGATTAAAAACCATAGATTGAACAGAAGATTAAAAATCAAAAGAAGATAATTGACTTATAATATAAGGTAACAAGATATAAGACTATAGGACCATCGCATGACTTTTTAAAAAATGTTCTCCTTCCTTGACCAGGCATCATAATCTCCAAGCTAATGGGTCTTCGTTTTAACATTTTTGGCGCTCGATTATGAGAAAATTTGTTTCGAAGTTGTTATTCTGGTTAAATGGACATGAAAAAACTGAAGACCATGCTCAATATTTATTTATTTATGTATTTATTTATTTACNATTAGCTGATTTAGCCAATATCTATAATGCATGTAAATTTGAAATTTTGAAAGCTAAAACATAAGTAAAACATTTTCCTTACCTTAACTCACAATTAAAAACCACACGAAAACTAAGAAAAATTAATGTTTCTTAGTTATTTTTCTATCAAAAATTTCATTTTTACAGTCTTAGATATCGCAGATATTGTTAAATCAACTATCAAATGCTTAGCGGTTGCCTGCCATTGGTATTCTGCGAGACGGGGGATGTTTACGTCATACCAGTTATCCGGATTTCCTTTAAAGCGCGCATCGATACATATTTAACAGCGTGCTATGTTCTTAAACAGCCCGGAGTGTCACGCAAACCAAAAGTTTGATAGATTTTATTCCATAATAAATCGATTGACTAGCGTTTGGCATCATTTACTACTATTATTTCGTACGCACAGAAAACTGTGCGGCACTCATCAGGTAAGTAGCCAAATTTAAATTTACAACGGCTTAGTTGATATATGATATAGACGGTTTTACAGATATAGCGTGACATGATAATAGCTGATAATAATTAGTCGTACTAGCCGACGCCTTGGTCGACTTAAGTTTTATCTTTTAGCCAATCTATCCGTGTATTATGTCGCGTTTTGGGTTGCCTGTGTTATCACATGACCGGAAGCTCAAACGTATTGATGTACGAATATCGTTAGTAAATGTTAGAGTCTACTTGGCTTTTATGTGATAAAAAAAAAATATTCATTTACAAATGCGGCATCTGCGATCCCAACGGAATGCATCGGTCTAGGCATCAGAAGTACGAAACTGAATTCTAGCGCTAGACATTCTTGTTTGGGCAAACATTTCAAATTAGAACAAAAAGAAACTTTGTTTATCAATAACAAAAAGGCGACTTTGATTATTTTGTAGGCATATTTATTTTTAAATAAAAGATTTAAATTACAATTTTTTTGGCCTAAGAGGTCAACACTTTGAATTAAAAACGTATTAGATATCTCACTTAGCGACATTATATTTAGTCTGACGTTTGATTTTATCAGTTCAGTTGTAA